GTGAACCCCTCTCTCCCTGGGCTTCCTCAGCTAATACAAGGTAATGATGGAAGTTTCCCTCAGCATTCGGCACATCAAAAAATTTGCTTAGTATTAAATGAAAATACAGTTTTCAGCTGTGGCCCCCACCCTCATGCCCCCTTTCATTACAGCCTCAGTGGCTCCATGAATGGGGAGGATTGAGGATAACCTCCCCACATACCACCCCCACGCAATAAGGGAACAGGTACCCAGCCCTGCTCTGTCTCAAAGTTACATCAGCAGCTTTGCCTCCTTTGGTGTTTTTTCTGGCTGCGGAAATAAAGACGTGGTGCAGTGAGGAGCATGGCATGGGTCGCTGTTACCAACTACTGGTACAACTTTGTTTGTATCCTCTTGGGCTGCAAAACCAAAGACCCTCCAGCACTCGGTACTGCCCAGGGAGTTGTCCTTTGTGGCAGGCAGTCAGCAGAGAGCCATGGACATGGTGATGCTCTGTGCAGCAGCACCTGAAGTTAAAGAAAGTGCCCATTTTGGGAGTAGCTTTCAGCCACCTGTTCTGCATAGACTGTATTGCCATCTATCCCTCTCTTGGGGTGGTGGTTCCGAGTTCGATTTTCAGCTGCCGAGCAATAGGATGTGCCAGGGAGACTTGACCACTTGGACCACCTGCATTGCTGGCTCCTTAAGTGAGGCCACCTGGAGAAACTGGGAGCTGGAGAGTGCAAATGCTTTGTGTGGTTCAAGCTACGTTTGTGCTGTTGTTTCTTGGCAGAGACTCACTAAAGGGTTCAGGCACTGGGCAAGGCTTATCTGGCAATCGGGGCCCTGCCCCACATCAGTTTTATTTAGTGATTGCTCTCTCTGCAGGGAAAGCAAAACAACCCATTTCTCTACAGTCACCTCCCTAATCTACTGTCCTTTTGCCTCAGGTGACTGCTGTCCTGTTCTCCCTTGACATTGAGCCTCTCCTGGATCATGCAAAGAGTCCTTCTCATCCAGTATCCCATCATCAGTGGTCACCGTAAGGGAGGTGCCTATGGAAGAGGGTCTTCACACCAGGAGTCTCAGCTATCAGCTTTTCCCAGAGCTGGAAGCCATTTCTGTGTATTCCGTAACCCCCAATGGCTTGCTTTTCTGTGCACTTGTGCCCTGAATCCGCACAAACTCTATCATTCACAGCAGCTTTTGTAACGGAGCGTGCGCTTCGGCTTCAGCTACAGCTGTGGGCTGTGGGGCAGGAGACACGGTGCCCCATCCCCAAACGGAGCACCCCTGGCTGGGAGAGCAGCAGGTTCCAACCCCTCAAGGAAAGGCCCAAAATCCCGAGTCCTTGGCTCTGTGTCCCCCCCCAGCTATGACACACAGCAGTGTCTGGCCCCAGCACCAGGCTGCAGCCCAGGTCGGTGGGGGCAGGCCTGGGGTACGCCTGCTAGCTGCGGTCCCTCAGCCACCTCTGTGCGTGGCCCCTGGGCCGAAGCCTACACACGCCCAGGTAGACAGCAGCCATTTGGCCTGTCGTGCCTACAAGAACAGGTCCCGCAGGGGGCCTGCCCTGCAGCTCAGGGTGCGCTGGCAAATCCTGCGCGAGGCGCTGAGCAGCTACAGGAGCTCAGGCACCTACAGGCTGAGCTTCCTAGCTTGTGTGCCGTAAGATAGGCTCAAAACCCACACCCGGCTGGCACTCACTCTGACCCTCTGAGGACCCTGTTCAGCCCAGCCTCGTGTCCTCACACACAAAAGGAGTTTGATACCCCTCCCCTCCTCCTGATTTTCATCCAAGTTGGTTCAGCTGGACAAATGCATTTGAAAGCCTGCACCAGTGCCAGAGGCCAACTTTCCTACCCACAAGGCACAAAGAACAGATAGTTGTCACTGTGTTTTGAGCTCACAGGGAGCTCAAAGGCCACCAGGAGGGAGAAGGAGCCAGAGGAGACAGCCAGAGTCACTAGCTCTGCTACCACAGCACAAGCAGAGGGAGTGATGCATTTCTGGGATGCCTCAAGGCCATAAAGACTTGCCATGACTCTCCGGGGGAGAGCAGCTGATTTATTTAACTTTTTAAAAACTGATTTACTACCGATAACCCCCACACGCTTTAAGTCTTTGATGGTGGACAACGGTCAAATTCCCAGGAAAGAATGGAGCCTGGAAGACATCATCCTGTCTTGCAAAGTCTAGTCTAGCTCCAGGTATACGCTGAGGCACGACAAAGGAAAAACTTCCTTGTGGATGCTCGGGACAGCCGCATCCCTGTTGTGTCAGGCTGCTTCATACTCGTGGAGTCTGACGTACTTAGTGAGGATTTGCAGGAAACATAAATCGCAGAACAGCGTGGATTCAGTCCTTGTCAGGCTGGTATGTCAGCATAACCATGCTCTGTTACTTTTAGATAACAAAATTACAGACTTCATTTTTACTTTTGAAGTCAGAATGAGACACCTCTCACAAAGATAAGTTCTAGGGCTAGTCCCAGTCTCAGGGTTATTTAGTGGTCAGATGCTAACCAGGCGTTTCCATTAGTTGGGTCCTACATTCCTCCCACCAGCCACCATCATTTACAAAACACAGCTCCATGAGAAGTGACTTATTTATCTGATGGATGTTCTGCCAGCATAAGCATGTGCTGATAGCATCTGAAGTCTTGGTACAAGACTAAGCCAAATCATGGAGATTCACTCTTAACAAATCTATTCAAATAGACTCTTTACAGCACTAGCAAATCTGTGATAAAAGCTCATATATAAACAATACACAGGGAAGTCAGGATTTCTGTGACACAGTCCTGACTCTTACTTCTTCTGAATTTTAACAACTACATGTTTTAACAACTATAAAACTGAGACAACAGTTTATGCCCTCTTGTTTGGAAGTATAAACTGATTAAGAGAGTTTGACTCAAAGCCCAGTAAATCTGTTTTATTCCATCAAGTTCTTAGATTATTCAGTGCACTTAACCAGCAGGCAGAATTCACTTTTTTTTTTTTCAGAATCTGTAAGTTGGCAGGACACCAACTTTTATTACATCTGCATTTTTCAGATATTCCTTCAGGCTGTTTGGGAAATCTCAATCCTCATTCTATCTTTAAACTTTTTATTTGCAGTAAGAAAGTCAGTGTTTCCATTGGGGTAGCTGTCTTAAAACTGAATGAAGAATAATAATAAAAAAATACAGTAGAGCTCTTTATTTTAAGATTGCATAAAACCACAGAAATACTCCATTAAAAAGTAAGAAATAAGTTCAGTCCCTCTAACTGCAGGAAAAAAGTGGTGACCACTTAAAACTGCATGCTTTCTTGAAAGTAAATATACATACTTTAAAAATGAAGTTTAAGAGATAAATAACCAACAGGTCCAAGCAAGGGAACAGTTTGATTTGCTTGGAAGTATTCCTCCACTTAATATAATGGCCCATCTGTCAAGATGCACCCTGTTGAGCATAGCCATGGTTCCTACTTTTTATGTTTATGTTTTTGAATCAACTTTTACATCCTTATCAGTAAAATCAAATACACTGAAAGCATTTCTACTCAAAGGCAAAACATATCAGTGGAAAACATAACACTGCAGCTGTAGGAAGACTCCAGGAGAGATGGAGACAACCAGAAAGTTCTGCATGTCCACAGGCTTTGCAGTACCATATGGCCAGCTTGCTGATTTTAAAGCTATGAGATAAACATGGTACCAATTACCTAATCTAAAGTACTTCTTTCTACTCTGAGAAAACATAAGGAGTGTATGACAGTTTTTCCTTTATAAAATTAACTTTAAAATGTTTCAAACTGCATACAAATATTTACATGCGCATATATACATAGTGCCAAACAGTGCAGTACTGTCTTCTTTTACCACATAAAATTCATGGAAAGAAAAGTAATCTTAAGTGTTGCAGACTTGAAAGGCACTTTTGTCTTGTCAGAGCTAAGGAAAGCTGCCATTATGCCACACTACACAGGCCACTGGAGCTCTGGTATTACAGCCAGCAGAAACACACACACACACACACACGCACACACCAGGCTGCATTTCTGTGCTTGTATCTGTGAGTTCACAGACGGAAGTAAAATCACTTAGTTAATTGCACTTGTACATCAGATCCTACAGATGTCTAGGGGCCATAAACTTTGCCAGCAAAGCCACTGACTGAATCTCTGGCTCTACAGCCAAGGTAAGTTTCGCTGTTTCTTATACATTATTAAAGGACCAATTAGGAACCAGTGAAAAATCTGTATGATGCAAATGCTTACTTGTCCATGTCAGCCTAGACCCACACCAAGTAACGGAATTTTTACATCAAGGTATCAAAAAAGTTGCAGTTCTCAGCTTTTTTGCTACTTGCTCTCTTTAACCCCTGTGCTAATACGCAAGTATTGATTGCTTAAGGTACAAATGCTGATAACCCAAAGTTGTGACATCCCTCCAGGAGATCAACACACCACTGCACTGAGGACATACTCGCTTTGGTGGCCTGGGCTTCTCAGGAAGGAGAGATTTCTTAGCAGTTCACCAAGGTGCAGAGAGCTGCAGCTGCACCTCAGGAGGAGCTGCTAGGCCCACAAGGTAATAGATGGCAAACACACAATGGGAACCTGATGCCCCTTAGGGGAAACTTCAGCAGATAGACTGAACAGCAGTTCAGAAACCTAACTTGTGCTTTGCACACTACTATCCATTACTAGATTTTAGACTTTTTTTTTTGCTTACCCATAATTATGCAGCTGTGGTTATGTGGTATTATTACACTAACTGAATAATAGAAAGCAATTACAAAAATAGCAAACAAGGAAAAAAAAAAAGTATTTCCCACATCTTTCCACTTCAAAAGCATCACTGCCAATGTTACATAATAACAACAGCAAATTTCCTTACTAGCTTCCTGGTCATAATCCTTATTTATACAAACTACCACAAGTGAGTCCATGTCATTCTGAAAGCTCCAGCAAATTCAGGTCTCAAGAAAAAGCCCAAGATGCACAGGGACACAAGGGTGCCAGACACCACCACCCCTGCAAGGGGCCAGGCTACGAGCGAGTGTACTGCACCGTGTTGTATTTGGTGACCCTGGAAGACTTGCTCAGTGTGGCACTGGCAGGAGGTGGCCCCTCTAAGTTGGAGCCCGCCTGGTTAAGCGGGGAGTCTGGGATCAACATGTGCTCTTGCCTTCCCAGGCTGGCACCCGCCGCCTGTTCGGCTCTGCTCTGCGTCCCCGAGGCTGTCACCACCCTTTCGTTCACCACTACGCTGCGTCCCTCTGCCAAAGTGGGGAAGCTGAGTGAGCCCTGCTCTGCAGCGGGCACAAGCACCCTCTCCCGTTCCCTCACCACAACGTACTGGGAGTCGGGGAGATCCTGAACCGTTAGGGCTCCTGGCCCGGCACCCTCTGACTTCATCATCCTCTCCGTAACCACCACATTACCTCTCCGTGGCAAATCAGGGATTTCCACCATACCCTGCAAGCTTGATGCGGGTGCCAGTACTCTCTCTGTCACCACTACATTCTCCTTAAACTGGGAGTCTAGAAAGACAGTGCCCGAATGGGCAGGAGCCCCTGCTGAATAGGACATTTCTGTCATGGTGAAATTGGTCTCTGCATGGGCCGTGGGAAGGGGCCGAGCATCATGCTGCCCAGAGTGGGATGCAAACGTTGTTTCCGTGACCACCTCCGTGGAGAGGGTGTCTTCTCCTGTGCCACCGCCCACAAGCACTGGCGGGGCAGGCTGGAAGTGACTGCCCGAGGCAAAAGCTTGTTTGGAGCTGGAAGCATTTTGCTGATCTAAGGACCATGAATTTGCGTCATTAACACCTAAACCTGATTCATTCTTGGAGCTACAGTCTTTCATGTTGATGTTTCTGCCTATGCATATTTCTGCTAGAGTCTTAAATTTGTCTCCTAAATCATCAAGGAAATGGTCATCAAGATCACCCTCAATAAAGCTGCAGCAGCCGATGGAGCCATGGGGAGAGCCTGACTCTCCCTGGGAATAAACCAGGAGACAGTCGTTTGCAGCTTGGGCTTCGTCTTCTTCCGCAAAAGAGACAGCTTTCTACAGACAAAAACAAAAGCAAGAGTTCATTAATGTCAGCTCTAGACTTAATAAATTTGAAAATCAGGAATGCTTGGTCAAAGAGGTTAAAATATGAAAATTTAACTGAACCTACAGAAACCGTCAAGGAAGTGAGAGCAGTACCTAAGAGTGCTTTTTGCTTTTTTGAAGTTAGTCTGAACTTGACAGTCCACTTGATGAGAAGGGACGTCTGAGATTAAATTGAAAACCTTGGGTACTATCACCACCTGCTGTTATTCCTATCAGGAATTGTGCTATTTGTGATACTGCTCCATCTTCACAAAGAGATTGTTTTTATTTTGGTTCAGTGAATGAACTTCACCTCTAACTAGGTGTTTGTGGGAGAGTGCCAAAACCATGCCTGAGAGTATCCTAACATTTAAACATATTTATGAGTACATGTTGAAATGTTATCACCTGCCATGCCCCTTTTCACTAGCATAGCCTGCAGGATCACATCCAAGGAGCCCAACAGCAACAAAAAGTTAAATAGCTTGGTAAGTATGGGAACATAGTCCAGCACATAAATTTTTAGGCTCTGTGCAGGCCACTTTGCAACAAGGAAGGCTCAATAGTTCTGACTATAGTGCTTCCAAGGCCAGCTCAGTCTGAAAGCAGCGTCTGCAATGGAGTTTGTGCTAGCACTAGCACAAATACCTGTGTACGTGCTTACATCAGCTCCAGTTCCTGGAGTGAAGACAGCCAAATCCTCTGGGCCTGCTGAACCAGCTTGACCCAATATGGTTGCTGGCTTGCACTCAGAACCACTTTTCTACCATATTTGAAGTTCTAGAGTGCATATTTTCTCAGGCATCTGTGCGATATCGTATATATCCAGACCCAAATTGACTCTATATGTTTATCTGTGTTTGATCCTGAAAGTAGGCACACTACCTGAGATGCTTCTACAAAAATCAGCCTGCGTCTGAAACTATTTGGTTTGGTTACTTGTCTGGGTTCCCCCCCCTCCCCTATAATCTGAGATATTTTAGCCTCTCAGAAGTGGTAAAGAGTACTGTAGTATGACCTTTACTAAGCCATCCTGCAGGACTTCAGCAGGCAGCTATACTTAAAGTATGTCTTAATATTAGGAAGTGCAAAGAGTGGAAGGAAAGCAGAATTGCTACTATTGCATCTGTTCACCTAGAAGACCAGTAGCTAGAGCACTCAGGAGACATACAAGTATCTTAAGCTCAAATTCTTCCCTAGCCTGAGGTGGTGATTCAAACCTGCACAGCTACTCCCCTGCAGAACCCCATCATAAGCCAGCTCTAGGGTGTGAGGATGTTTTGTTTGTACAGGTGATGGACAATCTGTACACTCCTTGGCATATGGAAGTGAAGCTTTCACTATAAGGAGCTCACCAGCCTAAGGACTAATGATATGCGTTATGCAAAGAGGAATAGCTGCAATGAGTAGGAATAGCCTATTGGTCAATGGTTAGGTCACAAAAAAAAAAGTCATCAGACAGGATTGCAACATGTGTCCAGGCTGTTGGGCTAAGAGACAAGTCCAGCACCACTTCCTTCATCAGCTACTTTGAAAATGCAGACCCACCCTTTACTGTATGACATCTATGGCTTATCTTTCAAAAACCTGCTCCATGGTAAAGTTTGTAGCTGTGACTCATGATGAGTCATAGGTGCCTCCCTACAGGCCAGTTTAATGTGCTTAAGTCCCTGAGATTCAGATCACACTCCTTCTCATGGCTTCTTCCTGGGCAAGCGGCTCCTTGGTCATTGCTGAATATTCTGGATCCCATTCCCGAGTACCTCCCTCGAGAGAAGTATCTCGTTGTGAGAGACCTTGTAAACACCCGGTGCTACAAGATGGAGTACTGTCATGCTCTAAGTCCCACATGTGAGCCTAATCCAAAACTCCTTAATGCCCCCAACTCCACATGCACACAACATTGGCCATTGTATCAGGACTGTTTGTATATACATATCTACTCATCTGTGTTTGTAATAATATGAACAGCATATTTCACAATGCTAAGTATAAATATCAAAATACTGTTATTTTTGGGTCATATGCTTACGTCATTGAAGTAGTCTCTTAAAAATTCTTCATTCATGGCTCCTGCTGCTCCCACCACAACTCCTCCTCCAGCCACCACTGTCTTGCCTTCAGCACCTCTAGCTGCCATAGCTCCACACTCAGCACCAGAAAGGAGATGTCTTTGCTCTTCCCATCCTTCCTTGGCAATAGTGCTGCAATGCTCTCTTACATGAGAAGCAGAGCTGCCGCCTCCTGCCACAGTTTCCTCTCCACTCATTCCTGCTGTTGCTGCTCCGCTGGTCGCTCCTCTTGAGTTCCCCGGTGTAGTGGGTGGCATGAAGCTTAGCACTGGCTACATAAATAACACAAATTAGGATGTGACATGAAAGCTGCACTCTCTAGCACATGGAACTCACCAAACCAGCAGCAGGACTGGGTGGGACCAGGGAGGGTGCCGCCTTACAACTCGTTTGAATTTGCACTTATACATGTTGCTGCAAAGAGTAAAAGGCCTCCTGAAATAGGGTGCAGCTTCCACAACTGCGTTCCCAAGTTAGATCATGGAAATGTTCCTATAGATCATTGTTTTCTTGTAACTCAAAGGGTTGGGAGTGAAAGCATGGGGAAAAAAAACCCCAACAAACCCACCAAAAAAAGGCTTGCAAAATTCCAGAGAGCTCAGCTGTTCCAAGACAGACTCTGGCCAGCTTTCCTCAGACACAAAGTGGGGGAGTGGGCACTGCCTGCTGCCTCTATGGTGCTGCCTGGCCCTTTCTTCTAGCAGTTTGGCTTCCCTGTTGTTTTTTTAACAAGAATTTGGTGTGAGCATTGGCCTAAATCAAAGTCTTTTACCTTAATTCTATTTCTTTGCTATTGTGCAAAAGCACGCCAGTGTCATGCTCTTTTTTTGAGAACTGGGTTTTGTAGCATAATGAGAAAGGGCAAACTTCTCTTGGCATTCACTGTTGCCTCTGCAGATTTGCACCTTTTTCTGCCTTTTTTTTTTTAAATTAAGAATTTCCTCTGTTTAAGAAGGCAAACATACAGGGATGTTAATTTAAAACGCAGCCTGAAACTTTAAACTAGTGAGGAGAAGCTAAGCTTTATAACCCATTCTTTCACTGCTTTACCATGCTCCCAAAGGGGTGTTGAACATTCCAGGCTTGCAAATGCAAATGCTTTGCTCTTTACAGCATCCATGCTTTTCCCACACTCCTATCTTCTGCTCAGATACCATCAACATTTGCTTGATTGCTTTCCCTTTACTTTAGGATTTAAACACTATGGCTGGTTTTTCTAGAGCTGCTGATGGAATTCATCTTCCATGCATATCCTTCACTGAGCCTCACAGGGTTAATTTTAATTAATGTTCATGTGTAGTTAAAATCTGCTGTACAGCCTTGAAACATCAGCCTGTAATGTGGAAGAGGCGCTAAGTGCCAAACTGAATGCTTGGATGGAAATCAAAGAGAAATGCTATTAGGGATACATGCCTTTTCCACAGGAGCTGCTCCTTCGCTGTTCCACTGATGCAACACTGCTTCACTGTAGTCTGGTATCGCACCAAATCCCTTCGCTCCTGAGCCGCAGGGACACAGCAGCAGTAACAGTGGAATAACTACAGGGAAACAGAAGTTTGACATTAACTATGTGATTATTAGGGTCAAAGCATGCTAACAGCCAGTATCGAAGTTTGGCCAGCTCCCATACCAAAATGTATCTTTAATAAGCTAGTGATCAGTATGAGGGCTGATAAAGACTGAAAACAGTTTCCAAAGTATTCAAGGTATTTCCTAGAAACATGTGCCTGGCTGGTCTCCTAGAAAGTAAACTGACAATTAACCCATCAGGGCCTCAATCCTGCAGATGACCATGCAGCTATGTAGCTATACTTCTATCAAAGATCTCATATACCAAACCCAAGCCCTAAATGTCACTGTACAACCTCAGCATTTTGAACTCTTCCTGTTCTTTTACTACTAGACAACGACATGGTGTCATGTAAATTCCACCTCACCACTCCTATGACACACCTAGAGCATTGCCTGGGGAACTTAATCCAATTTCAGGAGCAGAGCATATTCACATGGCATGAACTTTGTTTTGCCACAGCTAGACTGCTACCAGTACAAGCAATAAACTATTGCCATTATAAATGCAGCACTGGTACACATGGCCATACCCTGACTGCAAGCATTCTTCTCTTATTTTTGAGCTTCTATTTTGTCTCACCAAAGAGCAGCAAGGGAAAGAGAGTGGAGGGAGCGCTCTGATTTGAGTGGGAAGAGTTAGGGTTCACATGGGGAGGTGTGGGAACACCAAAACGATTCCTTACTGCTTCCCCACCTGTTATTTACAGTGCCGTAAACAAATATTAAAGTTGTACGTATTAATTTTTAAATGCACAGCTTGAAATCCTTTGAGAGTGAAATGCTGATGTTACCAAAATTAGTTGGGGATTTGCCATGACTTCACACAGACTAGGAGTTTATACAGAATATATCAAGATGATAAAACCTGGGGGCTGGACTGTTTCTGTCCTGATGCCTTGCAGACCATATTTACAGTGCTTCTGAGATAATATGAAATGATAACTTACGCAGCAAAAGTAAAAACGCCAAGATGATTAGCGCAACCGCTCCTGGTCCCAGACCCACTGACTTGGCGCCAATAAATTTATCTCTGCATATGCCGTTATCCATGCACTTACAAACAGTCAGTTGCAGAGACTGTGCTTGAGCGCAGCTTAACCCTTGGAAATCCTTTATTAGGATGGGAACTTCAGTTTTGCCCAGCTTCAGGTTTTGTGGTACCAGCTGTATGCTGGTGCCTGAGGCAGAAGGGGGGGTTAAAGAAAAAGAAGAGACAAGAAATGAGTGGAGAAAAAGATGGCTCCTGTAAACTACGGAAAATAAAACCTTCACCGCCTCCCAACAAGCCCCCTCCAGTTAAGTCCAGCCAGTGCAGTGGAATTAAGTATAATTAGCTGCTGCTACAGCATATGTGCTCTTATTTTTATCAAGGAAATTCATGCTGGTAACAAAGCAGCCATGCTCACTTGCAGTCTCAGATAATTGTGGAGAGTTTCACACCACCAAAGACTTATCACGGAACACAGCCCAACTGCCTATATAGCATTAACCTTCATGTCATCCGGATAGCTAAAGGCTGAATTCGCAAAAAACTGGCTTCAGTCTTTAGATAATCTGTTGTAGGTCACAGGCAGAGACTGGGGAGCCAACATACCACCTGCTCCTGTGGCCATGTCACAACTAAGCAAGAGGTGCTCAGATGATGTTCCCACTGGGGAATGCCATCCTATTTGGAAAAGCTGTGATCCCCATAATTACTGCTAGTCTGGCTGCAAGCGGGGTGAGGAAAACTAAGACGACTCCTTCTTGGTCCTAAACCTGGCCATTAGGATGACTCTGCTGATTGCTTTGCAGTGTTATGCTGTAGGATTACAGAGGAGAGAATAATGAGTCTGAGAAGAAAAAAGTGTTTTCTGGTACCTTCGATCTACCTGAAGCATTTCCTTCAAGCATTTCCCAGGCTTATATGAATGGAAATGCATGAAGAAAATGCTCATCTCATTTTGAAATAGTCATTAAAATTATAAATAAATTTCTGATTTATTTTTCTCTCTGCTGTGCTGGACAATCTTAAAACAGGTTACACTGTATTCCCCCTTTTCAAGGCCCACTGTACAGACATATTTATTTATTTGTAAGTTAGAACAACTGCAGCCAGAAACACAACCATATCTCCAAGCTCAGTTTTAACAAAAACCATCCTCCATCACTGCATGCTTTTTGTGCAAAGATAGGAATGGCTTGATCCCAGCATTATCCACAAAATCCTGGTCACCACATCTGGGTCATCAAGGTAAGCAAAGATGGTCCAACTGAGGGAAGGGAACAGACCCCAGAATACATGTCTGTGCTTTTATAGCCATTAAAGAGAAGGGAGCAGAATGCAAGTGATGCGTCTTCATGCCTGACTCCATATACATGGTTTTTTTTTTTTGTCTGGATAAGCCAAACTGTCAATTTAACTGGAATTAACAAACTACAACACTAGGACTCCAAAGAACTGGAAGTAATTAAAAAAATATATTTTCTTACCATTTCTGGATGCAATTATCCATTTTTTTGCTGTCCCTTCTGGCTCATCAATGACAGCAAAGCTGAAGGGATCACTGTTTGGGTAACCATCCAAATCGTTAGCTGTAACATCAACTAATTTTGCATCTGAACACACAGTCTGCACAGGGTTCACAATAACTGGGCAGTTATCATTCTCATCTTTAACTTGAATAATGACTGTGCCGGTGACTGTTTTCTTAGGAACATCTAAGATTTTAAAATATGAAAAATTAAATTGATTTGAAAAGTGCAAGAATTTAATCTTAAAGTAAAAATCTTAATATTTTCCAAAACACAAACATTGCTGAAATAAGTTGAAAGAGCTCTCCCTGGAGCTTATGGGAGCAGTATTTCACTCCTAACATATTGACAAAGTTCTGAATGCAAGCTGATTTACTATTTTAACTTAAAAAAAAAAGTAGCATTTCCTATGTATGGTTACACAGTAACATGCAGATTATAAAAGGCAAATTCTAATTAGATACACAAGAAGTTCAAGGATTCTTTCCTGCTTAGCATTCAAGAAAACTTAGGACGCTGAAAATAAGCATGCTGAGATATTGGCAATTTCCACCTTGACAAGGGATGTTCCTATCAGACTTGGTCTCTGCAAAACTTTTTGTAAAAGTTAACCTCCATCTAGTCAAAGAAGAGAAACGGGCACCTTGGCAACCATTCCAAGGTTCATCTTATTTCCATGAGTTGTCTGTGTCTCTCCTCCAAACACAGAGCCTATGGGGAAACTGCACTAGGTGCCTAACTTTTAGGCCATTAAAGACAGGGAGGTTAAACCAACTATAGTTGTAGAAAGGCAAACTAAACCCTAAACAAATCAATTAGTGTGAAAACAAAACCCCCTCAACTCACCAGTAGTTACACCCAACATGGTGATAGTGTAGGTACCATTTACTACATAAGACGATTCATAATCAAGTTTTTCGGCAAGTCGGATTTCACCTGTGACCGAGTCTATTGTGATCCAGTTTGCTGTATCTCTTCCTTTCATGTATCTGATTAAAGTTGCATACAAAGATGTACAGATTTATAATGAGGAAAACAACCACCAGCGGAAAAAGCAGCTTCACAGTATGTTTACTCTTCATTTAAAGCCAAGACCAAATCCCTAGGTCTGAGGTCTGACACTCCTGCCACTGGAATTGGTTTCAACTATAAACCTAAGATTATAAACCTACCCTGAATGTTGAAACCTACTTTTCTCACTAGAGCCAGGATTTAGGTGTGGAGGCATTATAACAAGTAGCCTCAGGGAGCAAGACCAGAGCACAAGAGGGAGCTACACTGCTGGTCATCATCCTCTTCTCCTCCATCTCTGCTCCCAGCAAAAGCTGAGCAGCAGCCACCCAGGACAGACTGTACTACAGGCATGGGGGAGAGGGGTCCACCGTTGGGTATGCACCTCTGCTGGTCTGCACAGTTTGTAAAAGCCACAGTGGTGGTTCAACAACATTTTAGCTGAAGAGCTAGGATTCAAAATCCAAGCACACACACGTAGACTTATCTACTTTACACCCTTTCTATCTGATCACTTGATGTTTCTGCGTATTTCTTCCTAACGTTTCTGCAGACAAAGTCAGGCGACTAAATCTCTCAAAAGTAGATAGGCATGACAAACAGCATGCAAGCACAGACAACTTCAGCCCAAACACTCATGTCTCATCATATACAACAAAACAAGTAGGATTTTCACATTAGCTATTTTCTGCATAATAGAATATTGAAGATGATGATAAAGCTGTTATTTTAGGTATGAATTATGTGTAGTAGAAAACCATTGCCTTTGGAATTATTTCAGTTCAATATGCACATTTTTACAGTAAATTGAGATTTCTGACATACTCAGTTATGATGATTGTAAAAGGATTCTTACACAATGCGCTCTGCTATTTTTCCAGTGTCTTCATCATAGGCTTGATACTGTCCAATAACCTGTCTTATCTCCAGTTTCTCACTTGCTTCAATAATTTTTGTGCCACCAGGGAATACAGGGCCTTCCCGCACATTAATCACATTAATTTTTATTGGAATTGTTTGTGCTTTGTAACTGTGTTTAATTGACTTGTGGAACTCTGCTTTGTTTGTAACAACAATGCCCAAGTTTAGGCTTTGCATTTTTTCATAATCCAGCTCCTAGAGCAACAAAAAAAAAACCAAACCAAAAACAATCACTCAGAATTTGACAGAATCTGGTATCTAGACAACATTCATACATTTAATATTTAAATAATATTATTTAAATAATACTGTAGCATCCTTAATTAAATAATAACTGTTTAATAGTAAGTGTTGGTTAACATGTTATTCTCAATACATAATGCTTCAAACTCTTTAAAAGTACATAAGGAAGATTACTCTATTTTTAATGGATGGCACCATAGATATGTCTTTATTATTGAATTTAAACTAATTTAAGGTAGGTGCAATGGGTCCTACCCATATATTCTTGTCTTTACTTTCAGTGAATCAGTGCTCAATATTACTTGGTTTTTCCAATTTTATTTATTTTTAAACCAATTCATGTACTTAATAACGCTTATCAATATTTACAGTTATCAGTTTTCAGATAAGGCAACCACAGCAGAAAAAAAAAAGAAAAAGAAAAAAGGTACTTAGGGCACTATGCATCTTCCATTCCTGTGGACTAAAAAGGGAGTGAAATTCATAAAATAGAAATTTCCATTTATGGAAAGTATTTTCACAATTTCAATTTATGGAAATTCATAAAATAGTCTGTAGCCCATGGCTCATGGAGTAGGTGTTGCCTGCAAGTTATCTGTGGCCACAGGAAATAAAGAAATTTAAACTGAGATCAGCAACCAGAGCAAAAGTACGGGCAAGTTTACAGCCTAGTTGTTAGCACTGTTGCCCAAACAACAAGGGAAATTTGGGGACTTCTGCCCCACTAGATATTTGAGATCACACAGAATGTAAATAGTAAAGCTGGACAAAATTATTATTTTGCATGGAATTACTGAATACATCAACAAAGAATATGTCAAAGGAGGAGTGTCCACCATGTAAATTTACAGCTTACATACAAATTATTTATATTCAGTCAGTATGTCAACTTAAAGGGAGTAAATTATGCTAGTATTTAAAGAAGGCTCTCTGAAGAATATACTAACCTTCACAAGAGTCAAAATTCCTTCATTTGTTTGGGTGTCTGTTACTAAACGAAAAAAGCCACCCTCATTGCCAGAAACAAATGAAAAGTTCGCCAGCCAGTTATCCGAAAACTCTTCATCTTTGTCAAATACTTTTATTCGTAGAATTTCCACATTTGCTCTGTTTTCTTCAATGCTTCCTTCAAACTGCAATTGAAAAACACCCTTTGTTAAAAAGATGTCATGATTTACCTCATTTCACCAGAGCAAGAAAGTTTGTACAACCTCATATTAAACAATGGGATACTGACAGGTGTAGTAACATGCCAAATATTGTGATAAATGTACTTACTCTATGACTTTCAACCACAGGCAGATTGTCATTGACATCCAAAATCTTGATTTCTAAAGAACATGTTGCAGCATTCCCACCTATTTCACCACCACGGTCTTTTGCTTCCACCACCAAAGAATAGCTACTTTGTGTCTGCCACAATAAGAAAAAAGTGTTTAAACCAGGCTAAAAATTTTTTCCTTCCCTGTATTATGTTTATTAGATTTTTGGTAATCCCTCTCATGGCCAATTATAACTCCTCTTCTCTCTAGCTAACAGTAAATCTCACACACAACTACCTTGACAGGCTCTGCTGGAGAGTCTCAAAAGGATTTGGAACTTTTGCATCTCCCCCACAAAGAGTTAGACTGTACTTAGGTGACAAATGAAAAAATTTCAGTGGCCATAACCAGGGACAGGACCAGGGACACCTGCATGTCAGGACAGGGCTAGAGGCAGAGCCATTGCCCTCAGTCGCAGAGCTAACATCCAGAACACCATCTGCTGGCCAGGGAAAATTCATGCAAGCACAGGTAAAGCTGCTGGCAATACATGGCTTTCAATGCTGTTTCACAGCAGCACCCATCCTAACTCTTTACACTTCGATTTGCACAGCAGGCTACAAAAACCTAGACGCAGTCAGCAGCTCTGTAGATGGTGATCTGCGTTGTCTTTGCCGTATGCTCTCCAGCAGAAAGAAATGACCCCTTGCTTCATGTAACGGCTGCACGGGAGGGACAGAAATCAAGAGGCAACGGGCTGGTGCTGTGCTAGGGACCTGACATGGGGAATACAACCTCGATCCTGTATTCTGCACATCCCCCCCCCCCCCCAGCCCCGCAAAAACACGCCCCACCCCAACAAGGCTTTAATCCCAAGGGAGGCGAAGGAAGAATCCCAAGGGAGTGAAGGAAGGTAGGAGGGCCAGCTCTTCATCCTGGCAGGCAGGGCTGAAGGTGACACAACAGGTGTCAGAAAAACACTGTTAACAGATTAAAAATGGGAGGATTTTTGTTTTGTTTTGGTTTTTTTTACCTCTCTGTCAAGGTTTATTTTTGCTACTCGAACCTCGCCAGTATCCTTATTCATACTGAATGCAGCTCCAGGGCTTTGAGAAATGATCCTGAAAGCAATTTTGGAATTTAGGTTGTTTGGTTCATCTGCATCCGTTGCATTTATCCTCATTACGATTGTACCTGGAAAAAACCAAACAAAATACAGTATTTGTTTACGCTGCTATGTACCAGCAAGTATTTTTACTATAATGTCAAAGATAAGAGCATGTTGTCAGATGCACTGCACAATTTTCTGATGCTCTTGCCTTTACTTATTTAATGAAAAAAGCTGAAGAAGTGTTCCTAAATCCAAACAGTACATGTTAAAAGTAAACCCTTTAGCAAACAAGACTACTGTATCCGCGCATCTGTAAGTCATAGAATTCAATGCACCAGAAATAATCAACAGGTTGAATTCTCTCAAAAATCGTGACAGAAAACCATAGATATACAAAGAAAGAAAAAGTTTTTGAACAACAAGCTACATTTACGTCACACATTATTCTAAAGGGAGCACTACTACCTCCTCTACCTGAATGTTATTAAAACAATTGCTCTGTATTGATGCCCTCCAACAGCTTTACTCAAAATACATGGCAGTCCCCATCGTGCAATCCCTTTTAACTCATGGCACAGGGTTTTTGTCTTCTGGGAAAGGGCGTACCTCAGCATCCAGGGCCACAGTTTGAACATTAGCTGGAATTCAGGTAAAGAGCAATTCCCATATGGCTGCTACTGACTTGAAAGACAGCTGAGGGAACTCAATACCTCACCCAAGTAGATGGTCAAGGATTTGTGTCTTCAGATTATCATAACACTGAAATGGACACAATGTCAGGTATTTATTAGGTTGTTTTATTCCAGCTTTTCTTATCTTCTGGGAAGTAATCTGTTGTTCTTGTGTCTACTGACATCAATAGGTAAACTGCCAATAACTTGTTCTTTGAGGGTTAGGTCACGGCCATATGTGCTTAACAGCAAAGTACCTCTCCAGGCCATAGATAAAGCAGGGCTTTTCATGAGCATGGCAGAGTGGAGTCCTTCCCAAATAGGCTGGGATTGCTAGGCCAGAAGGTAGACTGCATTTCCCCTGCAATTCCTGCTGAAGGACTTTGGTTCCTGAATTTGTGGTAGCTTTGACACCAAACCAAAGGTGCCACAAGAGGAAGTGTTGTTCTCTGTTGCCTTTAGGTGGACACTTTCCCTTAATCACACCACCCAGCTTAGCTCTGAATAAAGACTTCTGCATTGACACGTGGATAACCTGGCCTACGCAAGCAAGAGAATGTATCCTTGTTACTGCAGGTATGCTGCTGCAAAGAGTATATTCACTTGTGCCCTTGCATGTGTTAGGAAAAGCTAAATGAAAAAAGCAATTCTAAAAATAACATTACCTGTTTCACTTAATTCTTCAATTGAACCAACAAAAACTTCCTGTGAAAACACTGGAAAATTGTCATTTATATCCACAATTTTAATTGGGAGGTCTATCGGCTCTTCCAGTTTTGCTCCAGTCTTATCTAGTGCGTGACCTCTGAGCTGAAATAATACAGACAGAAACAAGCAAGTCCAATGAGTGAGGGTAATATATAGAAATACATATACAAAATAGAAATAAATAGAAATATAAAATATATGTAATAAAATCTAAGCATTATATAAGCATATGTAATATGCTTCTAAGCATGTATACACTCACAAATATGCAGAAACTTTAAAACTAATCAGAGCAAACATTTGAACAAAAATGAAAAATGGATAGGAGGGCACCTATAAAGAAGTTACTATTCAACTCACAAGCAGCATTGGAGTCTTTTCTCTGTCAACTCTTCCTGTTATGTTCAGGTCTCCAGTCTTTCCATTGATAACAAATAATCCGTAAGGGGGTTCTGTTACTCCTTGACCAGATATAGTGTAAGTTACCACTATACCTGTCTCTTCAAGATCAGAATGTATCTAGCAGGAATATAACAGATTAAATAGCATTCAGTAAATAAAATCACATTTAAAAATGCAATGAAAATATTTTTGGTGTTTTTTGCAATGAACAAACAAAAATAAATATTAAAGCACATTTCCCTGCACTCCTTTGAGTCTGGAGATGTTGAGATGAATGCAGGAACGTTCTGTTTGAGGATCTGGTGCAGGGAGATGAGGAACATGATGGACAATGCAACAGCTGGGAACCATGGAGTGGAGAGGTCTGCAGGAGAAGAAAATTGGGACTGCTTGGACAAAGAGAGTGGGATAGGATACAAGTGCAAGGAAAGGCTAGAACACCATTTTGATAAGGTGAAAAGCTGGAGTGAGGGAAGGAAGAAACTGGCTGATCAAATGGATGGGGGCAAATGAAATGTGGAGAAAGGTGAAGGGAAAAGAAGTCTGGAACAACAAGTGCCAATCTTCAACTGATATTCAATAGTCCTTTAAAATTAAAGAAATATTTGTGCATGTGTTTAGGGCAGCCAGACCTTTATTTTATATTTTCATCTCTATTTTTATGTGTATTCTGTATTTATCTCTTTTTCTGGGCTTACTCTAGCAATTGGATTCATATAGGAGTTGTCCTCCTCTTCCCGTATGAAAGCCGGAGGGACTGTCCATTCTCGCTTCTGTCTAACTAGGCTGTTGGGATGAGACAACATGCCACTCCTGCCTTTTTGATCATAAACCTGTGAAAAAACAAGGTTGAAAGTCAGCATTATATTTAGCCACTTCAGATGAATGCTTTATTGCTGCTCCAGCCCAGACTTCTGAATAGTGTTTGCTCTTTCAATAGCTAGTAACTTTGAAATCGCAGAATGGCATTAACCTTCCGAGCCACAATCTAAGAGCTATATGCTCAAGTTGTTTGAAGAGGAAAACTACACTAGTCTTTTCATCAAGACAGAATTAGGTAAGACAGGCTTTAAATACATGAGCAAGTTCCCATGACCAGAGGTTGGTGAAGATACACCTGTTCTGGAAGATTTAACTGCTTATTATCAGATATGGGAAGAAGTCTGGCACTAAGGCTGTTTTGAACCACCATTTCTGCCTTATTACCCTGTTTACCTTGCCACCAATACTGCCTCGTACTCAACCTTCTCTCTGAAACAGAATCCATGAAACAGCGGGCCTCTATTCAACCCATCCACTGTCTCTGCTATCCTTGCTCAACTACCCCTCATGCTCACTCTGCATGACACCCTTCATCCTTCTGTCCAGCTTAGTCCCTACTGTGTCTGTTGACTTCCAGACTAACATCTGGAAACGTTTCCAATTAACATCCTCCATAAAATTGTAGTTGATTTCATTTACAGAGAGTTAAAATAAGACACCTACAAACTTAATATTTTAGGGGAAGTTTCTCAAAGTTGAACACCACTCAGTTTGATGGATGTAGGAATCTATTCACTTACATTTTGGCTTTCATTTCATTATTCATTACATAGCTTTCACATTTCAGAAAATGGTAAAACGCAAGGTATTTATCAAGTGAAGTAAGGCACACTTTTGACACTTTGCTCAGAGAGCCCTTCTTCAGGCACTGATAAATAAAAGCAGTTTTCCATTATTTCCTACCTTCATATGGAGTCCATTTCCATAATTCAAACAGATCTGCAATGGAAGTTATGATAATCATTATTAATTCTATGTCACTTTAGCCATACTAAAACTTAACTGACATGACCACCCTCATAAGAACAGCTAAGCCATAAGGAAGAGGGCATCTGACCTCTATCAATTAATATTTACTATTTACCCATAATAGCTTCTCAAAAATTCACCCATAACCATTCACATTAAAAACATACACTATAATTATATAATTATTAAATTTTCCACTTTTCTCCCAGCAGGAAACAGATAATAAGTAATTAATTTTTTTTCCCTTCATTAAATGCAGACTTTATAGTCATTTTTAAACAACCATTTTTTAGTGCTGAATAATGCTGCACTATTCCAAAACGATAGGAATTTGCCATTGACTGAAGCAAGCGTTGGTTGCCAGCAGCACTCTGGAGAAGCTCCCTCTTCTGGGCAAACCACGGATTATACAGGCTGTGGTGGGTTACCAACCACATCAGAGAACAAAACAGGTTAAATAACGTTTAAAAGCAAGGAGTAATCAAAACACCTGCTGAAGCGTAACCAACAGAAGCAGCTCTCTACTTAGCACCTTGCTGGGAGGATAAATGGCATACATACATCCCTTACTTAAACAAGGCTGAGACATGTGCACACTAGCAAGCAAATCATGCTTGCTCTGACAAAACCTTACATGCCAACATCCAGTATTGGGACTGCCCATCTCTTCATGCACCAGGATAGCTATGCATGCCTTTAAACACCTCAGTTAGGTGCCTCATCCTAGCTGAAAGGTACCAAATTACCAGAGACCCTGCATTTATGCCCACTCTGCACGCACTGAAGACCCCGCAAGTAACAAAAAGCAAGTGGTGCAAAAACATAGGCACAGCATTGGGAAGCAACAACAACAAAACCTAGGTTATTACAAGTGAAACCAACAAATAGAACTTTTGAGCTTTGCATAGGTAAAGAATACTTTTACTGTTCTCAGCACTATTACATCTAGCTACATTTTGCATGTTAGGTGATTTTTTTTTTTATATATATATACTAATGCCAAAGGCAAAGCAGGCTCAGAAAAGGTGATTTCCTACTGAAATAAATCAGGGAGTGTTTCTTTATGTTCTCTTTGATTGTTCTCTCCCTATCCATCCCTCTGACTCAGCCTTGATTGCTGCATCGGTGACAGCTTTTTTTTTTTTCTTCCAAGACGTTATCTCTTTCCCACACAATGCAGCAATGCAGTGGACGGTGTTGAGCAATGTAGCAGACTGCTGTTTCGACTTGCACAATAAAATTGTTTTGCAAATGGCAATTTTCCCAATGTATATATTCTGAAGACAAAAATCAGCAAGGACTAAGTTCCCTAATGGATACACATTGTGAGGGCTACAGGATCTTACACCTCAGACCAAGTTGTTCTCATGAATATTCTTAATCTTATTTGTTTTTATTAGTGATATGGATTTTTAAAATTTATTTTTATGACTAATGAGATTGTACCAGCAAGAGTGACAGGAGGGTTTGGGTTTATAGTCAAGGTTTTCCAACAGAAGCTGCAACTGTTTTGGAAGGTGAATAGTTGTCAAGATGTCCTCGTGAACATCCTTGTTTGTTCTTACTGGTAAACTAAAGGGAAAAGTGTTTCTGTCTCAATACTGAACGGAGACAAGAGGCAGGAGGTGAGAAGCTTCCTTGTATTGAAAACCTGAGAGCCACAGTATAAATGAAAGTGTCTGGAGTTCAAGAATAAGCAGGTCTTCCACTGAGATGCATATCAAGAAAGTGGAGAAAATCCCATTAGTCATTATAAACAGAAAGTCTTTCATTAAGATAACTAAAAGTAAAAATCAATTTGTTTGCAAACACTGCAAAGCAGCCTCAAAACATTCTGTTTTACTGGTAAGACAGTAAAAACCACTTTTGCTATTCTAGTTTTCAATCTGTAGTCCCTGGGCAATCTCATAAGGGACTTTAAGACATCAATAAAAGGTGCTTAAGAATGGCAATTTTATTTACAAGATGCATAAACACATTTGGAACAAATATATAAAGGGATCCTGCATTTCAACTGGAAAATATTTAAAGGATCCAAAAACTTTAAGAAGGTGAAAAGCACTTTTCAATGACATTTTCTTCAAGAAAAAGTGAAAAGTCACATATCCAACAGGTGTTGAATTCTAAATTCCACCCTCCCCCCCCTTCTTTTTTAATATCCTAGAGCTGCCTTCTATTAAACAGCTTGGTAAGATTAGGAAAGCCCTGCCCACCATTTGCTGTGGATCATAGCCTTGGCACAAAAAAATAGACATCAACTGATGACATCTGTTGATGACACAGAGCCGAGAAGGCATTGTCAGAAGACAACTGTATGGTTACAGAAAACTAGGTGGAAAACCTGAGGCCTGAAGTAATAGAAACGGAATGAAATACTACATGAAAGGAGTAGGCGAGAGAGCAGGGGAAAGAAGGGAGTGACTGACGTGTATAGGGAGTGCAAGGCTGCTCTTGCCCTAATCCATGTTCATGTGTAGTCAGGAAGTGACTAAAGGACAGATTTTTGAACACACAGCTTAGTTTTATAATGTAAAGATGCAGACTGAGCAAGCAAGAAGATACGTGTCCGTATTTGCTACACTATGAAACAGTACGTCCTAGAAACGTGGTCTTTCATGCATGCTGTGTGTCAGGAGATTTGGATCTCACACCTCCTGTGAGTCAGTTTGGTGTTGAAGACCATGGGCAAGTGGAGATCTTCCACACTTAGAGAAGCAGGCTGAAGAGACTATCCAAAGTTATCTACTTGTCCATCTCCTGGCCCTGGGGCAGGACGAACTACACTAAGTGCTTCCTGACAACTGTTTAATCTGTTCTTAAAAACGAGTGATGGAGGTCCCACAGCCTCATCAGCTAACCTAATGTGGTGCCTACCTAACCTTACAGATGGAAAAGTCTTTGTTAATTTTTATCCTAATTTTATTATCCTAATTTTTAGCTCTTCGCAAGTTGAGCATATTGCTGTTTGGATGAGATTCAGTTTCAGATTAAGGCACACATTTACATGTCTAAATGAACGCTAAGTGCCTAAACTTGTGTTATACTCAATAGCAATATAGCCAATACAGACAAGGACATCAGAGAGCAATTCAGTTCACTCCAAAGCCAGCCCACATCTCCTATTTCTCTCTGGACTCCACTGACTGTAGCTACGTCTACTTTGTAAGCCCAATACGAGAGGATTTGTAGAGCAAAGCAGTTGCTGCTGAGAACCCAACACTACATAACCCATGTTTTGTGGTTGTTACTTCAGACTAGAATTAGCCTGGTCCCACAGACCACACAACCACGAGCAGACAGCTGCATCTCCCAACGCAGTTTTACGTAGGAGGGATCAGATTCACACACTCTGGAGATCTGCTTCGAAAGCACAATTTGATCCAACCAAATAGGTGCACTCTGCATCCACTGCATCTCCATTTACCATAACAGAAACTCAAACACCTATATTGAGATTTCTTAATCTCTGGCCAAATCTCCTTCTTTGCCATGTTGATAATGCTCTCATTGAACAGTGTAATTACCTTTCCTTCGCAATTACCCTTCATATACCTGAAAACTTATAATGCATCTTACCCACCTTCTTTTCTCAGTTCCCCGTTCTTTAATCTCACTTCAGGAATCATAAAACACGATATCCTGAATTTAGATTGCATTTTTCACTTTCCTCTAGTCTCTCCTGGGCAGATTCACTTTATTCTAAAAGTCTGGTGTCCAAAATAATACACAGCTTTAGTTCAATAGGATGGATAAAATACCAGATCTTATGTATTTCTCACCTGCTTTCCTATCTCACCATAGCACTGTTTTTTTTCCCTCCCTTTTTGGAACAATATTAAGTTGTTGAATCAATGCACAGATGCTTGTAAATATTTTTACCATGTTTCAGCACATTACTGGCAATAGAAACTAGGCTGCTTTGAATTATCCCACCTTTGCTCTTTCTAAAACTATGGGGGTTTTTTTGTTTGTTTGTTTGTTTGTGTGTGGGTTTTGTTTTTTTTAAAATTTAACTTGTTTCTATGAATTTTGAAAAGTAATTGCTACTGGCTCTGACATTACAATAGTGATCTAATGTATTCTGGACCGAATTTCATCATACCCAGCCTAAGCCTAACCACCCCAAACATCAAGGAAGTACAATCCCAGAAGACGTTCAGAGAAAATGTAAGTTTTGCTACTCTTGTAGTAAGATTCATACATCTCTGTCAACTCTTCTTTCACTCAAAGGTAAGAAGTGTTCGAAGACTTCCTCTTTTGAAGACTTGACGTCCACACCCTTCAGAAATGACCGAGAAACCTCCCAGTCTAATAACCCTCGATAGCGGTGCCCGTCTGGCAGGCCCACGTCTCTGGGTGTGTGCCCCGGACACATACCAAGTCAAGCCCAACCCTACGGGTGCACTACCCTCCGGCACGCCCAGGCATCCCTGGAAAAGGGTCAGAGGCAGGAACATGGGGAAAGCTGCTGTAACCTCTGCGAGGTACCCAGGGATGAAGTTACAGGGATGCAGCCTGCAGGCCCAGAGGGAGAGCAGATGACCAAGAGGTACTTCCAGGAAAAACAAGGAGAGGAAGAACTTACAGTTCTCGATGCTTCTAACATAGAAGACAGTGTGGGAAGACGCTACTTTTAGATTGGTTTTGTTTTTCCGTAGTTTCTTAAGGTTTTGAAATTACCAGTGCCATCTTTGCATACCGTAAGATATAAATGACCCTAATCTGATGCTCTCAAACAAGCAACTAGACTTCCTGCCACACGAATGGCTTTGTCCAGATTGGGGGGGGGGGGGAAACAACCAACCCCCAAACAAAAAAACCCACCAAAACAAAAAAGGCAAAACCCAGCAGTGCCTCTCTCTCTCTCCCCCTCCTGACATCAACCAACTAAGGCAGCTTTATTTGCTCTAATATTCTGTCTGATAGTGAGGCATTCAGGC